AATGTGTTGACAGATTCAAGAGATCAATCGAGTTCTCTTCGTTTCTGTCTACACCCTAAATTTTGTGCGTTTGGTACATACCTATGTAAAAAAATTTGGTCTCTAAGCTAGGTTCAGAAAATCACATTGGCTATGAAATCTGCTATTGCATAAAGCCATAAGAGAAATGTAAAAATATTAACAGAAGAAAAAGATCGAAGACATACTTGGGAGAATGATTGAACTTATGAAATTAGAAGATACCTCTAGGGATTGAAATCGAAGACCCTGCCTTTTATTTGAATTGCCTTTTCCACAGATGACAGATCAATTTCTTGCTCGGGTTCTTGGTTTTCTCTGTAACTTCTTATGCTCTATTTTCAGGACATAGAAGTGAGGGGATTCATTAAAACACAAATAGTTTAACTAGAGGACCCATCAATACCGACATTACGAAACTAAAATAAATGTATACTTTTCTGCATTATAGATTCCTTGAGATCAATAAGATGACAACTTACAGTTGGTATGCATTCTTTGAGCACAGTTCATGGCCAGCTTGCTTATCGTGTTATTTAGAGAGTTGCACGTTCTTTAAATAATTCTTGCGCTGACACTGTTTACATGAATGTTAATAAGGCACATACAAATTCATAAAATTGTCTCTCGATTGGCATTGAACTGTATATTAATTCAAGAAAAGTTTAAACAAAGATACCTGATTTGATTACATTTATTTGAATATCGGAAGGTCAATATCTTCTTTAACTGATTAATCAAAAGATATATGATCAATTCTGAGGATATATACGCGTTAAGTAAACCAGATACTTATCAAATGTCTAATAAAATAAGTAATTTACTTTAACAACTTCACCTGATATAGCATCTTGCTTACTGCGTAAATAAGTAGGTAACAGGTTTACGAAATCCCTCGAACTTCCGTGGAAATCTTCGGCAACAAGATGTACGTAGTAATCTTCTACAAATATAGATACCAATAATCAGAATCACCACCAGAGTTTTGACCCAAAAAAAAAAATATAGAGACACATATAAAGAATTATTAAAGAAGTTTAACTTGGATACCAAAAATTTCAATTGTTATAGAAAAGACGACAGTGAAAAAATTAATGGAAAGGATATGGATTTAGATTTCTTACTGATTAATGGATGTGTATGTGGCAAGATCTTTGGATATGGCCTAAGATCATTTACTCAGGTTCACAATCCTGAAACTGGACATATACATTTAAGAGCTGGTGGTAAAARACAGCTATAAATTTGAATCGTAGAAACTAACTTACSCATCAAAATGTCAGATCTCCAAAGCTACAGAGAGAGAAATCAGAAAAGCTATAACATTGCGAGRAAAAGCAACTTGAATTGTAATTTCTCACTCACCGTATTGCTTCTTGAGTTGTTTTGTGTTCTTTACCGCATTCAAGAGCTCGGTGCAGAAGATAGCTCCAGTTAAATTGAAGAAATCTGTCAAGCTTCCAAAGATACAACAAAATGATACAATCTAGACAAATGCTATTACATTTGGTCGACGAATAAAATTCTTCCAGAAACTTACAAGTTTGTGGCTAGCTGGTTGTCTTGTTTTACTCCACGAATAAACTTCTTCCAGAAACTTCTGCACTGACTAATAATGTTATAGAAAATGAATGATAACAAGGAACGTACTGACTAATAAACCTTTGTCTACCTTAGTTCGCCGGAGAAGTATTCTCATGCAGAACTCGAGAGCACACCCTATTCAACATTAATGACAACGAGGACAATTCCTTGATAGACACTAAAGAATCTCCATCTGTAAGGTTTTAAATAGCAAAACTCGAACAAAGGAAACTACATATTTTAATGGAAGTTAAAGTGAGACAGTTAGTG